ACTTATACAACAATTGAGAAATCGATTCCTATGTCCTTTATATTTTAATGATACATAGGAAACATCTTTATCTAATTCCAGTACCTTCCGTTTGGGTTTGTCTTTACCAATTTATCCTTTTTTGGGCCTTTGACTAAGCTTTGCCTGGTCAATACCCTTTTGAAAGGTTTTCTGCGCGAAATTAAAATCTGTGCTCGGTTCGCGATCACGTGATGACGACACGTAATATTCAATGAACTTCTACACGACATTTGATGTAGAACGTACACAAACATCATTACGCATATTAAATATGTTTCAACATTCAATTTATATTGCGCGATGCAACTTTTTTATACAATAAAAAGCATTACTTTATTTGTAAACAGCAATTTATATTACGCATAAAATAAAATATAGCGCTTTATTGTAACCATTTTTTTTTGGTAGGTCAAACCTAGCATGTAATTTCAATAGTTAGTATTACGGGTTGTTAAAATTAGTCTAAAACTTCGCCATAACCAGGTCCCAAATTAAAATAGCACCCAATTTCACATTACTGCAAATTCTAATCGCATGTTTGACAATTAGTTATCCGCGTAATCAAGTTTTGACGTATGATTTAATGTTCTTCGTCATTTTTCAATTTCCGTCGCTTCGAAAGTGACATATATCATTTACAAATTTAAAAGTAACGTACGCTATTTCATAATCGGTGAAAATTTATTGTTCAGATATTTTTTTTTTTTTATAAAAAAACCCTTATGTGGCGTACAAACATATCATAAATGCTCTGTTACATAAATTTGAAGCAAATTAAAAAAAATTATCTATTTTTACATTATTTACGAACAATTAGGTTGACTTTTTTGTTATTTTCATTGGAACGGCTTTTTTTCGGTTGGAAAAAATGGTCGTTTCATTTGCGTCATTCAGGGATTCTTCGAATAGTTGGGTTTTTCTATGTAAAAGTATATAATTAATTATTACTTGATAAATTGCTTATATTAATTTACACATATTTAAATTTTTTTTTTTTTTTACCTTTCGACATGTAAATTAACTTTTCTGTTTTCACTAATTAGTTCTTCAATATTTGTTTTAAAGTTCGAGAAAACCTTTGTTTAAATCCGGCTTGTCTCAATGAAATCATGCTATCTAAGGGAACCAAGATAATTTGAAGTTTCTAGTGGTTCGAATCATTTGCTGAATACCAATTTTCTACTAACCCAAATTGGCAAGCAACTTGATATGAGTCACGATTGGGCTGTTTTGGATGATTTTGCAAGGTAAAGATCGACAGTCCATTTTTGTCTGTCAATGCTTGGAATATGAATTTTTACTAATTCACCGGGCTTAAAGGTTCGATCGCATTTTTTCTATATTTTATTGCATCCTATTTCGAATAAGGTTACGATTTCGTTGAATATTTAAGATGGCTGAATTGCAGACCGTTTTATGATTTTCAAATGTTGGACGAGTTACGCTTGATATATTACTTAACAGTACCCGTTGCTATAAAATGTAGTACGCAAACACTCATTATATCTATTCCTGTCCATTAAACAACGTTTATTTTTTCAAGTTATGCGATCAAGGAAATTATATCGTGCGGTCCATGGTCATTATTGAAAAATTGGAAAAAGTAAAAGTATTATAAGTTTATTTTTTTCTTATTTATATTAATTTGTTAATACGTCATCAATTCTTTAATCACTGTTATGAACCCAATAATTAGAAATGCTATCGGTTTGTATACATATTAATTATAATAAAACCATTAATTGATTAATAATTGCATTAAGAGCTGACGTAAGCTATTTTTCAATCGGTGGAGATTGAAAAATCACATGTGTCAACTGGTAACTGACGAATTTTGTGATAGACGTAGAACATAATCACATAAATGTGATATTTTGAGCATAAATGTGCTTGCATGAAGTAAATCACCAAGAAAACAAATTTTCCATTTTAGTATACTTGATAAAATGTTTACACAATACAAAGAAATCGGAAACTGCTATCAAATGGAATTAAAAAAGAAATTTATTCATAAAATAGTAATAGTAAAAGCTATACTAATAATAGTAATAAAAAGATTCAAAAATAGGAAAAGAAAGTTTTTATTTGTTACAGCAGATCCTTGATTCAACTAAATCGAAAAGAGCGTAAACTTATTAAATTAAAGGGAAATATATGAATTTTAACATAAGTCCTACAAAATATTACGACGTTTACGAGACAAAGTATTACGACGTTTACGAGATTTCCTTCTTGTAGGGACCGGTTCCGATTCCGATTCAAGGGTAATGGGATCATTATCACAATTATTTAGATCCCAATTGAATCTAACACCATCAACACGAAAGCAAGAATCTTGATATCCCTCTATGAATCTATTATCCCATGGAGTGTGTTTAGGGTATACATGTAAGCAATAGTGTTCAGGAGCATCATCCCACACAAAAGTACCACGGCCACAATTATCAACTCCGGCTTCATTTATGACTGTACCATCACAATCAGTTACGTGTCCATAATAAAGACTGTTGAAGAACAAGTTTATATGCTATATGATGTTAAGTAAACCAAAAAAAATTAGAACAGAAAACCATTTATAATGTTATGCATATTTAGGTATTTTTACCTTGAGTTATATGAACAATCATAAAAAAGATAATAATGATGCGAGTGAGAGTAAAACTTTGCATAGTTATCGCAAAAAAATACTGATGGCAGGAATAAAAAATTATTAAGCACAAAGTAATGAAAAAAAAGATCTTTAAAGATGTATTTATATATTTCGCAAACCTATTTTCTTCATTTGTAGCAGTTTGCTACTGTATATCACAGACGTATAAAACTTCTTATCAAAATTCGGATGACCGTTGGATGAGAAAAAGTCATTATCTTCATTACCAAGAAAGTACTTAATATCGATTTGAAATTTAATCATTCTATATCGAATCTTAATTAATACTAAATGACAAAAAAATCTAATACATGGTCATCAAAATTCGGATGACCGTCGAAAGTACTTAATATCGATTTGAAATTTAATCATTCTATATCGAATCTTAACTAATACTAAATGACAAAAAAATCTAATATATGGTCATCAAAATTCGGATGACCATCGGCTGAGAAAGTCATTATCTTCATTACCGAGAAAGTCATTATCTTCATTACCAAGAAAGCACTTAATATCGATTTGAAATTTAATCATTCTATATCGAATAATAACTAATACCAAGCGACAAAAAATTCCAATACATGGTTATCTGAATTTTGATCATCTAGTTTTAACGCAAATTTCGGATGATCAAAATTCGAACGTCCGTTAGCAAATGATCCAAACTTGGTGTAACATCCATGCTTATGTGCAATTATATTGGCCGATGGTAGCATGATCGTCCAATTTAAAGTTAAAATTATAAATTTTTTTAAAATTTGAGCGTAGCTTTCTTAGTGACCACTTATTAGTTTCGGTGAAAATTTTTTATCAAAATTGGCTAAGTAGTTATCGAGAAAACTTTGCACAAAATCAAAGAAAAATATTTTCGTCTATAATTGTTTAAAACTGAAGTTTTCTTGACAATCATTTAATTAGTTCTATAAAATTTTATTTAAATCTTACTGTACATAAGATGTGATTTTTCGTTTTGCATTACGTGGCATTCGGAATTTCGATCGGGCGGTCCGATTTTTTTATTTTTTTTATTACAGCTGTTTTCATAATTCCTGGGGCACCTGTAAAAAAATTAACCGAATTATTTTCGGCCGATCCGGTTAATTTATTATTTCGGCATAATAGATTCAGTAAAAATTGGTACGTACGTTCGTACGTGCCAATATTTATTGAATCTATTATTATTATGCCGAAATAATTAATTAACCGAATCGGCCATAAATAATTCGGCTAATTTTGAAAACAGCTGTAATCTAAAGTAATAGACTGACTTTTCATGTAGCAAGTCTTTAATTTTTAAGACTTTCTTGAAAAAACATTTTGCTTGTTTAGATGATTTAAGTTTTTTAATTACCTTTTGGATCAGTTAATTCAGTTAAATCATAAGGCATTATAAAACTGATTTTAAACCTATCGGCAACTTACCTGATACAAGAATGATTTTAACTATAATAGCTATGTACTAATTCGTTATTCATTTTAAAATGTGAATATTAGTGTTTATTAATTCCTTCCCGAAATAATGCAAATTTCAATTGACAAAAAACGGCCAAAAATGGGAATACTAAAAAAATGATTTATCTTTATGTTAGAGATTACGTTCAATATGAAACTAGACAAGACATTTCTAGAGTAGATCCGGCTTTGCATATTTATCGTAGACCTAACT